ACAGCAATTACACCCAACAGAGAGGCGGCAAAAAGATTGTCGAGTTCGAGCCAACTTGAAAAATTCTGGGATATCTTATTTATTTAAGAGTAAACAGAATATCTTATAGGGCTTGCCCTTTATCATACAGTTGTCGGCTGCTTAAATGTCTCTCAACCCCCGTGCATGTTCGCACCTATATATAAGTTCATAAATAATATCAAAATTGTTGTGGGTTATCCAACATCGTTTACTTTAGTGAGAAAGAGTACAGTGACCTTTAGGTCTATGAGGTTGTCGTAGGAGTCGTGTTGTCGAATTGGCTCATTCATAGCAGCGCGAATCCTGCCTGCTCGAGCTCTTCTCCGGACGGCAAGATGGGTCGGCCTTGCATAGGGAAGGGCCAGAACAGAGGGTTTTCCATTGTCTCAGCAGCCTGGGAGGTCGAAGGTGGGTGTACAGTATTCGCCAAGTCTCGGAACGAGCTCCAGTTGCAAATGAAGTCTTCCTCTCGGACATTCGGTGCAAAGAAGTTGAGGCTACTCGTGTATGGCTGTACCAGCCTGTCATAGTCCTCTGGTGGCACTTTATCGCCGTCAATGCTCACGTCAATGTTCCATTTCTTAGCGAGATACCGTAGAATGTTGAGGGCTTGCTCGGCGAAATGGTGACAAGGGGCCATTTCAGTTAAATCGGCAATTCCTTGGCTGAGAGATTCAGATACCCTTGGGTCTAGCTTGACCGCATTTTGCAGATTACTCGTGGGAGAGCCCACTTCGTTGGACGTTGATCCGATAGCGAGATGCATGATCGCGGAGGTGAGGACGAAATAGGGTACAAAGGAGGGAGTCCTTCGCAACGTGTAGAGTTGTGAGTAAGACTTAAGGAGACCCTGTATTGCGTCTGCTGCCTGGCAACAAACGTCTCGAGGGGTTACCTTGGACCCCAATATTTTTAACTTGATTAGGGGCCGGAATAACAGCAAAATTGCAAAATGATAATACATGCTTGGGAAATGTTAGCCAAGGATTAATCAATTTGGTGTTAAGACACTAACTGGGCGAAAAGCACAGCTGGAGTGAAGTTGTGCCCCAGCCGTAGCACTTCTGGTATTCGATCATACCAATTGAGATATTGGGTGTAAATGGCCAACAGCTCCCTCGCAGTCAATGGCTTCCCAGGAGAGTGAAGAACATAAAGTGAACGGTGTACTAGTTCACTAAGCTCGCAGAAGCATTTGTACACTGATCGAACATTGGACGGTTGTTCACACGACCGCTGGAGTGGAGCACCTGCAAGAAAAGAATCAGTTCGGTTCCTTGTTCAAATGGGGGCTATTGTAAATGATCACTGACACATACCGTTGTCCGTGTACGGTACCCAAAAGGAAGCTTCGATGTCGTCGATGATAGCAGGCTTTGGAGGTAGGTGTGGAAAGGAAGAGCATTGCGGTAACGAGCCAGTTGCTAGAGACCACGCGCTGGAATCCAACAGTTAGAAACGGTGTCTTAATTGCCATCAAATGGTGGTAAGTTGGACGGTAAAGTGAATAGACAAGAAAACCTACTGATCGAGGGCAAAAGCGCCCCAAAATGTGGCTGATTGAACAGCAAGCTCGTCCTCATCACCTCCATCGTGTATCCTATGCAGACCCATCTCAATGGCGAGCCGTATACTCTGACCTGCAAAATACCAACTCTCCGAATCGCGACCGCAGCTCGCTTCCCTAATGGACATTATCCCCAATGCTTGGATAGTAGTCAGAGAGTGGTGATCAGTTTCTTGAGTGAATAGCCGCTGACACTCTTTAAAGAAATGATCGCCAGATGAATAAGGATCATTTGGATTCGCTCGTGTCTTGGGTTGAGTCGAAAAACGGCAGCCAAGAGCTAGAAGCGCGTTGACCAAAATAGGTGAGCAGTACCGGTGACGTCCATCTTGGAAATCCCGAAGAAAATGCTCTTTACTCAGCGACGCGAAGGTGGGATATTCCCAGCAAAAATAGAGCGCTAGGAGATGTTGGACCAAGTTTATGTCGCCTGTTATGCCAGTCCAGGTGCTTGTTGGAGGTTCCATCCCGGGCTCGTTCAGTGGAGAGAGAATCTGCTCGAGGCCACGAAATCGTGGCAGTCCGGCACCCATTTGCTCACCTTGCAGAGATTCCCCCTGAAAACCCCCTCGACGTGAGTCGGGAATCCAGTTCATGGGATCCGACCCGCTTCGGCTTGACTCGGCTTGACTCTGTCCTGAGAAGTTCCATGGTGGAGTTTGCTGTAAACCTGGCACCTGAGCTGCTGCTGGGCCAATATCAAGAGCCATGCCAGAATGACTACTGGAAGCTGCACCGCTGAAGTCCGCCAAGGCCGTCATGTTTGGACCTGAACTCTCTCCATGCCGACCCTGAAAGATGGGCACTGTGCTGCCCTCGGAGGGGACTGCATTTCCAAGCCAGTGAGAGATATTTTCAATGGTTTGGCCATTTCGTAAGCGATTCAAAACTTCTTCCCATGTATCTGACCTCACAAGAGCGGCCAAGACAAGGTCGCTGGAACGCTGGCGAATGCGCAAAGATTCAATCTCGGTGCGGAGAGTTTCTTTTGACTGTCGCACAGGAATCTCATAAACACATTCAACATCTTTTTGGGATTTGCACCGACCACATGGTTTTTGACCATCACACTACGTGGGAAAGGGTTGTTAGAAACAGTAATTTGATACGTGGGCCCATCAAATAACTCGGAGATGGAAGCTGCTGAGGCCATTTGGAGGGGTTCCTGATTTCCACTAACCTTTGCCCGTTTTTTGCGACATTCTGTACATGCATTTGGCGTCACAACCCCAAGTCCTCGGCGGCGTTTTGAATTTTGCGGACCAGGGGGAAGAGATGCCGTGTTCGAAGAGGGTAGTGATGGCCCCGGTGTAGGTATCCGTTGAGACGGCGTACCCGAAGCGCCCGACTGCGACGTTGATGTACCGCCTTGAGGAGTATTCCCGGTGCTAGATTGATTTGTAGCCGAAGGGGTTTGGCCACTGATACTTGCGTCGTCTTCCATAGCGATGCATACGCTGGTGAGACAATGGCAGACAATTCCGCCTCGTGGAGGCTGGCTCGTGAGACGGACCCTGGTTTGACAGATGTGGCTTCTCGAGTGTAGGATCGGATTCAGAGAATGATGGAGCGTGTTTCCGGTCCATGGGTGTGTCTGCAAATTCGAAATTGCATGCTATGATAGGGGCGCGTCCGCGCGTTGATCTGGTTGATATTGAATTCGGTAGGAAGAGACAAGCTGGTGGAGAAGCTTGAGGGGTTTGAGGGGGCTCGAACGCCGGAGTTGGGACAATAGACGCGCGAAGTCCCATACGGCGACCAGAAAGGAAAGTTTATGGTCGTCGTTGGTGTTGCGAATTCTTTGTTCAAGTAACTAGGGCTGGGTGTGCCTCCTAACGTCGTCGCAATGGGGCGTGGGGCTCGAATCCGGCCTTGAGGTGTTGGAAATTCTCAATATACGTAGGAAATCGTGTATTTTCGATCAGCGCATGATCTGCGAACTCCGAATCTGAGGGAATCAGTCGAGCAGGGGACAGAGCCCTCAGAGCATCGCGTTGCCTGTTATGCGAAAGCCAGCTTGGGAAGCTGTCGGTGAAAGTGGCCGCTGGTTGATGGCCTCGTGAGCGTCAATGAGATCTAAACGAGCCCCTGGTGGAAGCCGCTAGATTTTGACGCGTTATCAGCTCCCGGGGGTTGTCTCTGCGCCGGTCGCAAGCAATGTGTTGCAGGAAGCTGGCTCGCAGCAGGTTTGATCGGTGGTGGGGAAAGCTGTATGTCATCTATGGATATTGGCTGATCTGGAGAGCTAGCTAATATCAAACTCCCATAATATTACTGACTGACCTGCCGATGATGACGGAAAGTCGCCGTCAGAAGCTAAACCAGATCGGCGGGAATCCACACGCTGCTGCTTTAGCCTGGACTGACATGCGCCCCCGTTCCCTGTCATCGGCTGGCGACAGGATCAACACGTTGAGATTAGCGCCCTCGCCGCTCTTGCCTGATCCAGAGCCTGGGGTATGTCGCCAGCTAAGCGAGCTCGCTCAGTGCACTGGCTGTCCCTAGCTGTGCAGCATGGAAATTGTCCGATAGTAACATGCAAAGGAAAGGTAGTGTAAGTGCTGGGACACCTAGTATCTAGAGCAGCAGGCCTCAGATAGATGGCGAAAACTCATGCTAGCACACGTGGCCAGCCTTGGAATTTTTCTTTCAATTTTTTCTTTCCCGGAGTTTCCGCCAGGCTACTCACGGAGCACTCCATTGTTCGTTAGCCATGTGTAAGTCGACGCGAGTCGCGCTATAGAAAGTACCACGCCACGCAGTCAACGTGCCCGTCCTGAACTCGGTCTTCAAGACGTATGCGGCTTAGTCACAGCGCCTGGAATTCAAAGACTTCTAGCGGGCCGTTTTTGCTGACCAGGGGCGAGAAGGTTATGGGAACCTTCTTGCCATGGTAGAAAAAAGTCGTTCGATATGGGATCATGCAGGTAGGCGATGTACACAACATGGTTAAGCCTCATGAAGTGGAGCTTTGCTATCTCACATGAGTTCTTAACAAGGCAATAAGTCGTCACACAGCAAAGGATTTCCCCGAAGACAGTGGACCTTCTCCAAGTATACATACCCATATGACCCCCAATCTCATACATTCAAACTACCTATACATGAGCCACGTTCGGAGGGAAGTATGTGAGCAACTTTCCATAGTGCCCACCACGATTAAACTCCCGCAACTGCATACACAGTAATTAAGGGATATTCGAAGAATTTACTTTGCGGGGCTGCACCTTTTTATGGATTTAACAAAGTTTGTCCTGTCTGAGAGTTTTGCGGCCCATGTGACGGTTTTACATAACTTTTTATTATTGGCCTCAGTATTTGTAAGAAACACCTAAGATAACCCTATCTTCTCATCAGTGAAGTCGAAGAGTCATCACATCGCATCTCACCCTCGCTCTCATTTTCCGTGACTATGGTGCATCTCGTCCGAGTTGCCACCTGTGCGCTCAACCAATGGGCTCTTGACTTTGAGAACAATCTCCGGAGGATTAAACAGAGTATTCACGAGGCTAAGACAGAGGGTGCAACTTTACGAGTCGGCCCCGAGCTCGAGATTACGGGATACGGATGCTTGGACCACTTGCTCGAGAACGAGGTGTACGAAAATTCATGGGATTCGCTTTACTCCATCCTGACTGATGAAACTCTCCATGGCATTATAATTGATGTAGGGCTTCCTCTACTTCACCGCAACTGTAGGTATAATGCGCGCGCCATCATTCTTGACGGGAAGATCCTCTGCTTTCGGCCAAAGCTATATCTTGCCAACGATGGAAATTTCCGCGAGATGCGCTTCTTCACGCCGTGGAAGAGACCGCGGTACGTTGAGCAGTACTTTCTCCCACCTCGGATCCAGGAGCACCAAGGCTGTCGCCAGGTCCCTATCGGCGATGTGGTTCTTTCTACCATCGATACTTGTCTAGCTGCCGAGACCTGCGAGGAGCTCTTTACGCCAAACAGCCCTCATATCGAAATGTAAGTAGGAGTGTCAGCCGGCACTTGCTGTTACACAGCTGACCAAGCTTCAGGGGCCTCAATGGCGTCGAGATATTCACAAACAGCAGCGGGAGCCACCACTCTCTTCGCAAGTTGGATGAGCGCATTGCGCTTATTTCAGAGGCTACTCGAAAGAACGGAGGTGTCTATCTTTATTCCAACCAGATAGGTGTATGATGCCCGCTCCCTAAGATGCTTGAAATCTAGGAAAATTCGCTCTTTTGTGAAGCTGGATGAGTTTTGGAGCATGAACTGACTTTAGATTCTAGTGTGATGGCGACAGACTATACTATGATGGCTGTGCTATGATCTTTGTCAACGGAAAACTAGTTGCGCAGTCGTCTCAATTCTCGTAAGATCATCTGCAGCTGGTCCCTCTGTACTTTGGAAAAAAGGAAAGACAAGGCTAATTGCTTCCAGCCTAAATGAAGTCGAAGTCATTGTGGCAACAGTAGACCTTGAGGACGTCAGAGCTGCCCGATGCTCCCCGTCACGCGGCCAACAAGCCGTTCAAGCCCAAGAGTATCAGCGAATCGAGGTTGATTTCATCTTGAGCAGCAACGAAGACAGTTTACTGTGGGAACCGACACCTCCACGCCCGCCGCGGTATCATCTCCCCGAAGAAGAAATCGCCCTCGGTCCCGCTTGTTGGCTATGGGACTACCTCCGCAGGTCCAGAGCCGCGGGGTTTCAACTCGCTTTGAGCGGTGGTATCGACAGTTGCGCAACTGCGACGATTGTTTACTCCATGTGCAGACTCGCTGTTGCCGCCGTGAAGCAAGGCAACCAGCAGGTCATTACTGACATGAAGCGCATTGCTGTGTACTCGTCCGAATTGCCTGAGTCGGCCGAGGCGCTCTGCAACCAGGTCCTGCATACGGTATATCTGGGAATGGAAGCCCAGAGCAGCAAGGAGACCCGTCAAAGAGCTCATGATCTGGCCGCACACATTGGGGCATACCACCAAGATGTGAACATCGACACCATGTTCCAGTCGGCGAGGGACATTCTCACCCAAGCTACTGGTTTCGCTCCCAAGTTCAAAGGTTAGTACAGACACTTGTGTTTCTGACGCCATCGGGTCAGTTCTAGGGGATGTCTGCTTATTAGGGACCAATAGTTCATGGGGGATCGAACACGCAAAACCTGGCTCTCCAGAACATTCAGGCTAGATCACGAATGGTATGCGTTTCCATTATGCGGCCAAGAGAATCTATTTCTAACAGGAAGAATAACAGGTCCTCACTTACTACTTCGCTCAACAACTATGTGAAGTCAGAGAGCGGCCAGGGGGCGGTTCCTTGCTGGTCCTCGGAAGCTCCAACGTCGACGAGTGCCTGCGCGGATGTGAGTAAGCCCTCCCAAGCTATTGAAAAATGATCTAACATCGCAAATAGATTTAACCAAGTATGATTGTATGTCTTCACTGTGTTCCTTTGAAAGGGCAATCCGTAGTCGTATATCGAACTAACCACGCCAGGCTCCTCTGCCGACATCAACCCCATCGGCTCGATCAGTAAAGTCGATCTCGTAAGATTCATCACCTGGTCAGTCAAGAACTTCAACATGCCTGTTCTCCAGGATTTCATCGACGCTGTCCCTACAGCTGAGCTTGAGCCGATCACGGCAGACTACGTCAGTTCTCCTACAAAAGCGCTGCTCGAAGCTGAGTACTCACTTTTACACACAGGTTCAATCCGATGAGGCGGACATGGGCTTCACCTATAAAGAGCTATCTAGATTTGGCCAGCTCCGAAAGGTCAACAAGCTCGGCCCTTATGGCTGTTTCCTCCGCCTCCTGAGCGAATGGACGAAGGAGGGCATGACACCGCGAGAGGTTGCCGATAAGGTGAGACGCCAGTCTTCTTGACTGATAATGGTTACCGTGCTAACACAACGACCTAGGTCAAGAGGTTCTTTCACTTTTACGCGGTATTTATATTCCCCCTGGCTGAGCGTGAGGCGTTGTCGTACTGATGCATCTGTCTCCAGATCAATCGACATAAGCAGACAGTCGCAACTCCCGCGTACCATAGTAAGGTGCCTTTATTAACAGGTAGATCTTGAGCTGACATCAGGCAGGCGAGTCCTACAGTCCTGATGACCACCGATTCGACCTCCGCCCATTCGTATACCCGCCCGCTTTTGAGAGCTGGTCATTCAGGAAGATCGATGAACGGATTGAGGCGCTGGAGAAGAAGAGCCGAAACACGGCTTGAATGGACGTTGGAATAGTTATAAAGATCGTACGGCTGATGGGAATTAAGCTTGGGAGAAAATGATTATACCAGCTATATTGACATATACATGGGAGCTTGTGCTATTATGAGTTTGAAACTACCGCTACAAGGCGAGTTGGTGTGATCCATAGATTTAGGACAGCTGCAGCTGCATATAATACAAAGCACTGCCTGGCTAAGAATAATATAAAAAGTTGAGACATCTTCCATTCCTGTTTTTCTGAACACTGGTTTGTGCCTTTCGTACTCCCACAGTCCCACTCCCATTCGCAAATTCCAAAATTACACACCACTCATCGGATGCGTCATCCCAACGCCTAATATGCCTCGCGAATATATACGCCGCCCTACCCATGAAATCCCAAGGGTCTGCTATGCTTACAAGTCAAATGTTTTCCAAGAACAAAGGAGAAAATATATAATGAATGTGCCAAGGCCGTCTTAGTACCCTTTACTAGGACTTCGTCCATACTTGATCGGGCTGACTGACCGCCCGCGTTTTCCGAAGACCCTGTTACTCGACGGCGTGTGGGCCTGGAGGAGAAACTGTTGTGCTTTCGGTGGTGAGCTATCAGTGTCCGTTTCTTCTTCCAACAATCCGTGGCGGCGTGAACTTGGTGTCTGTACTGGAACCCACATAACCCCAGGCGTGCTATTAGGAACCATTGAAGGATGTGGGTTTGGGGTTTGTGATTCTTTCGTCGTGGGATGGGCCGGCTTGCTTGCGACGGCCCGGCTGTATGCTGCGTTGTTGGCGAAGATGGTCAAAAGCACAACTACAGAGACGGCTCCCTATGTATCGTGTCAGTCTCAGCAGAGTATTAGAGGTATAAGGTGCGGTTATCTTACCAGAGCTTTGAAGTTCATGGCGTCAAAAAATTCGTTGATGATTTCGGCGAGCTGTTTCATGCTCACTTTGACCCGGCTAATACCAGCGGGATCTTGTGTCATGCATTTGTACCATTCGTCACACAATGGCTTCAGCTTGGGCGCATTCGTAGTCGTACACCCGTTCTCAATATAATCAAGCCTGCATGCATCAATGCTGCTCTCCAGATTTCTCTTCTCAACCTCATTGGCGAAATGAATATCGGAGCTGACGGTGTTGATGATTGCCCATATAGCGTAGCATACCATTGAGATCATAAAGACATTGACTGAAAGCTGAATCCAACGATAGAGATTTTCGGGCGCACTCGAATGTTCGTCCATCATGTAGAACAAAGAACTGACAAAGCCTGGACTTTGTGGCGGTAGGTCTTTGGCCTTCTTTCTGGGTGAACGGCTTCGCCTCGAAGGCGCTGAGCTGTCATCGGATTCAGCCTCAGACTCCTCCCATTCCCGGGGGCGAAGTCTGGGGAAGCCTTCTTGGTTCTGCCGCCTCAGTCGTCTCCCAGGATCATAGTGGCGGGATGGAATCTCTCCTCGACCAGACACGTGCTTTCTACTGGAAGAAGGTGCTTTTCCGTATCGTACAGTTTTGTCGATTTTGGTTGGGGGGATCGTATTTCCCATGTGGACATCTCCTGTTCGATCGAATTCGGGCGTATCATTGATGTCTGAAGCCTCCGTAAGACCTGGACTCTCCTCAGCGCCGGATGCATCCGAGAACCCGAAGTCATTGATGGGCTTGCGCGGGGTGGTAAAAGCAGGGTTTCGAAAGGGGGGAGCTGCGGGTTTCGTGGACGCATTGGAAGAAAACGACGTCTGCTGAGCTACAGCTTGATGAGACTTTGACGGAGTGGCAAACGGGTTCGGTCGAGATGACGCATTATTTCGGATTGGTGAGCCAAAGCCTGGGTTGAAAAATCTAGTTAGCAAGCTATTGCAATCATAACCAAAGCAGAGCGAAGCTGGATAGGCGGACTCACCATTTTGTAAATTGCCACTTTTGGCGGCATGTGTAAACGGACTCGTGGGATCAAATGGACCTCCTTTATCTTGGTATTCCCAGTCCATGGGACCCTCGAATGATCTGGGATTCATGGTTTTGAGGATTTCTTGTAATGGTCATGAAGCAAAATGATCTAGTACAGGAACACAGAACTGGAAGACGGAGCAGACGGGCAGGATCATTTGTTCGACGAGGATCTCCCGGTAACTTTGGTATGCAAGTGCTGCCGCTAGCAACCACCCACTCAAGTAAACAAATAAAGTCGTTGCCTTAGGCGCTAAGCGAGATTATGTCAGCAGAGCTCCGACGTCCAACAAAGGCCTGGTAAAAGATGCACCGCGAGAACAAGGCGCGCTACGTCTCTGATCCGTGCCAGTGTCTGTCGGCAAACTTTATCGCTTTCTCAACGAGGAGAAATCGCCCACAAACCAAATTTTTCTTCAAAGGAATTCCATAATTAACAAGGGCGCCACACGTTACCAGCATCCAAGCACTACGATAGCGACTGCCTGGCGCCGACCTGCCTAGCTCTTTAATCTTCATTTCTATTCAGCAGCCCTTTCACTATGTCTGAGGCCGGATCCCCCAACGGGTCGCCGGGTGACGAGAGGCCCGCCGATGAAGGGCACACCCAGGATTTCGAAGACGATCAAGCGGCTGGTGATTCTGATGCTCTCTCTGAGGTAGATGAGAATCAGTTTGAAGACTATGATCCTGAGACGGCCAATATCGAGGATCGCCCCATCGAAATCGACGAGGATGCGGCGCGAGCCTTAAAGCCAGCCAAGAGAAAGCGCACAGAGGGGGAGACAGCGAAGAAGCCTCGAGAGGGCCGACGAGACAAAAAGCGACGAGATAGGGATGAAGACGTCACCATGGAGGATGATGGCGCTGAAGATGCCGGGAAAAAGCAAAGAAGATCACGACGTGGAGGTGACGGGGAGCGACGACCTAAGGCGAAGGCCCCGACACCAGAACCGGAGAACGAAGAGCACCTGACGCCGGAGGAGCGTAGGAAGCGCGAGATCGACCGGGCCCTTGATGCAGCCATCAAGAAGCCCAGCGGTGCTCGCCGCAGGAGAAAGGATGACATCGTTAGTTTCCCCTTGGCCATACGTGGTGACTTCGAGTACTGACTGTGTTCTAGGATTTGGAGGACGAGATCGATGAACTTCTTGCCCAGCTCAAGCTTCAGATGGAGCGGGCGTGTCAAGCCGACAACCAAGCACGAGAGGCTGGTCAGCCAGCACTACACAAGCTCAAGCTTCTGCCTGAGGTCACGGCAATTTTGAATCGTAACAATTCTCAACACGCAGTTCTCGATCCCGACACAAACTTTTTGCAACACGTCAAATTCTTCCTGGAACCTCTTGATGACGGCTCGCTTCCCGCCTACAACATCCAGCGGGACATTTTCTCGGCGTTGACAAAGCTGAATATCGAAAAAGAGGCTTTACTGAGCAGTGGAATCGGGAAAGTCGTTCTTTTTTACACCAGGAGCAAGCGGCCTGAACCAAGCATCAAGCGCATGGCTGAGCGGCTACTGGGTGAATGGAGCCGACCTATTCTGAAGAGGACGGACGACTACAAGAAGCGTCACATCGAGACTCGTGACTTTGATTATGAGTATGTTTTCTCCATTTCTTTGTTTTGTCAATGTACGTTTTATGCTCAAGATGCTAATTGCCTATAGCGCTGCAAAGCTTGCACAACGCCAGAAGATTGGATCGCAGTTTAGTCTTTCGGAGCGACCTGCGGTGTCATCTCAAGATGCCGAGCGTGACCGTATTCTGGCGCCCGTTGGCGGTAATAATCGGGCTCGCTTGGCCAGTCTGCCACAGAGTTATACCATTGCCCCAATCAGCACCTTCGGGGGAGCCAGAGGTGCTGAACATAGGCCACTTGGTGCGGGTGGTATGGAAGCTTTCCGCAAGATGACACAGAAGGGAAAGAAGAGAGGCTAGTGTGCGGGACACGTGTGCATGCTTTCAAAGTGATATTAGGTTTCGGCATATTGGAATTGGCGTTTGGGGTAGACGCAAACTTCTTTCTTGAATGGAAAACCACAAGGCAAGCTCTTGATTTGGCGTGTGCAATAAGAAGACGGCACCGGGCGCTTCTGATAGTTTGTATTGATACGAGCACCCGCTTTTTAGCAACACACTGGAGATAATCGATGGACGCCGAGAATCTATCTTGATCCCTCGGTTTCTTCAAATAATACAACTCGGGTGGAAACAATGGGTGGTCAAACTCCTCCACTATACTACTCCTCCACTATACTCCTTTGACGCAAGCTCCAGCGCAGAACTGGCTCACGCAGTGCCCAATACTTGCTGCATGTTCTGGCATAAGAGATAACTTGAACCTGAACGAGGTAGAATATGTGTATGAGGCTTTTAGAATAGGCCGCTGGCGATTTACATATCACGTCTCAAGTATTAATAAACGTGATATGGTTACGTGACCCCTCGTTCACATTGGCCCATGCCCAGTTGGGTTGACCCTTTTTCTGCGACTCCACCTCTTCTGGAAGCTTTCCTGCTATCGTCCTGACGTCAGTAATACATACATCTATTGCGGTGGAAGCTCCTAGTTTCCGCCCGTTGAAGGCGTGTTTGGTTGAACACAAAAAGGCCTTTCAGAATGTATCTGTTGATAGAGATATATACCCCTTAATCTAGTATATTTGGGGCTCTGTTCTATATTCTAAGAAGATGTCATATTATACTCTGACTTGGACAGTGCACACCATATTCGCTGTGGGCAGCTTCTAGGCCGGTATATTTGATTATTGCAAGGTCGGCAGGCATTATGCAGCTTCACCGTAGGAGGGAGATAATCCGCGACGTTGCCATGTGGCGAACCAAAGGTAGCATGTGCCCTGTGTTACATTGCCTCTGGATCACGGCTCCCAGTCTGACAGCATCGACCCTTCCCTTCTGGCGGTGGGATTCTTACTGGATACGGGCTGAAGCAAGGGGCCCTATGCTCACCTGAATGTCTCCTAATTTCGGGGTTTGATGGTAGCCTGACTCTATCTCATCCTTCTATTAGTAGGCCTGTCCACAGTAGTTGATTACAT